CTGCTGCTGCTACTATTGCTACTACTGCCACTGACACCGCCACCACCACCACCACCACCACCACCACCACCACCACCACCACGACTACGACTTGAACCGCAGGTTCAGAGTCCATGCTACTAGCACGATCAGCAACCAGAAGTGTGCTGGCCATTCCCAGCCAGCTTGCCCTAATCGGGTAACCGAGCACCAGCGTAATTGTTACTGTGCGTGATGGTTGCAGATGTTGTCAGAGCAAAGCAGACATGACGGAAACTGGTCGCTTCGAGGATGCCGAGGACTACGTGTTGTTACTGACAGTGAACTATCTGTGGCAAGCACTGCTACTTCCAGTGACAGCCGTTATAACAGGAACGGCAGCGGTGTTGTGTTTGCTAGCCACGCTTTGCTCCCACACCAAGCTGTCCAGGACGGCACCATAAAGAAGGAGGAGCTTGACGCGAAGGCCTGGCCCGTGAAGCCCCGACCTTTCAGTCCGTTCTGCAGCTCATTAGACTGACGCCGCGCAGCAGGTCAAGCAGGAGAAGAAGGAGGAGGAGAAGGCCAGACTTGTGAAGACAGTACTCTGAAGAATGCATGATCGGTTACTCGAGATTCCAAAAAGTGCCAAGGCAATCATACAAGGTAACAATACAGTGGATGGATTTCACATTCGATGAATGGCCTGTCATGACTCACGTGCTCTTCTGTCACCATCGTCGATTGTGTCCATCGCTAGGTCTATCTGTTTAGCTTTGCGGTCGTCCTCCTCCTCCTTGGCCTACTCTAAGCGTAATCTCCATTTTCCTCATCGTCAGCATAATTTTCATTGTCATTGTCGCCACCAAAACCATCATCGTCATCGTCACTATCGCCGCTGTCGGCGCCACTCCATGCTCAACCCTAAACCCTAAACCCTAAACTCTAAACCCTAAGCCGTCTTCGTCTCAGGGTCAGCAACAACAGCGCAACAGTACTTCAACCTTCCTCATCGTCAGCATCAGACTCACCGTGGCTACTGTTGTTTTGTGAACATTGCCATGGGTTCAGGGTTTAGGGTTCAGGGTTCTACGAATTATGCTGATGAGCGCCATCGTCGCCATCATCATTTCTCCTAGTTTGTCGTTCCGTCCTGGTTTAAGAAGATCGTGGAAGGACATCAAGGTCGACGGCGTGAAAGGCGAGGGCGTGAAGAACGAAGGCGTGAAGCAAGAAGGCCCGGGCGAGGGCGTCATAAGGACTATATAGTGTTGACAAGTGTTGTTTAAGACTTTCCTCAGTTTTAAGGAGCGATTCGTAATTAAGGGTGAATAAACCCTAAACCCTAAACTTAAGGGCTTTTTGTGAGCTTGCATAAGGGCTTAAGGGTTGAACCTTCGGGTTTGGGCTCTAGGCCGGCTAAGGATGTCTGGGTTTTCATGTTGGGTTCAGGGTTCTGGCCAAGGCGGGTTATTGACACGGTTTGAAAGCATTGTTCTCCCCAAGGGTCCAAAGGACCCAATAATTAGGTACTTAGGTTTCGGATAGTAGTTCTGCAGGTTACTGTTTGGGAGAGTATACGATTACCTTTAGGGTTCTTGGGTGTCTTAGGGATTATGGCGTGCGGGAGCATTGACTTAGTAAGTAAATCGCAGCGAGAGCTAGTGGCGTTTCCTGCTGCTTACTCAGTACTCTTAACCCCCTTGCTAAGAACCCTTGACCCTAAACCCTATAAACCCTAAACCCCGAAACCCTAAGCCCCACGAGCCTTCGAGTAGTGCATTGAGGCAGGCTCTCGGCCGCACTGGCAGTTCAATCCTACAGCGAACCCAGAGACTCCAATATCCCTTAATTAAGGAATATGGGTAGTTCTCTAAATTAGGGTATAATACGGCACCCTTATAAAAGGGACCCTAAAAGGGACCCTAATTTAGAAAACTACCCATATACCTTAAATCATATGAGAGATCCTACAATAATTTGAGGTCTATCCGGTAATTAAGGGATATTGGAGTCTCAGAGACTATGTGTCGACATGGGTCGCCAGTCTCCGTGCAAAGTGTCTAACCCACCCTGCGACTCCTTCACACTGCAAACCCTAAGCCCCTCAACCTAAACCCCTCAACCTAAACCCCTCAACCCCGAATCCCTAGACCCCTAAAAAGTTTACCCTAAATCCTAAGCCCTAAACCCTAAACCCTAAACCTTAAACCCTACCCTAGACCAACAGCTTCGTACCCCCACACCCTCCAATCCCGAATCCTTCAACCTCGGAAGGTTTGAAATTCGGTTTCAGGGTCCGATGTTCAGAGTTCACCCTAACCCCCAGGTTTAGGGTTTAGGGTTTAGTATTCGGGTTCAGGGTTTAGGTTTAGGGTTTAGAGTTTAGGGTTTAACCCTAACCCCCCAGGTACCTACTATATGGGGCCCCACTGCTTTAGTACCCTATATAGTAGGTCTTTAGGGGTTAGGGTCAGTGTTGCAGGATTGACATGATGGGGCGGCTCGGAGTGATCATATTTTCAATATCAGCCTCCTTGCGACGATACGCAGCAAGTGTGAAAGCCGTAGGCCCTAGGCTAGAAGGAGTCAGATGGTCCGCAAACCGAGAGTGAAGGGACTTGGAGGTTGCGTATAGAACCCTAAACCGCTGACAAGGGAACGTGAAGCAAGAGAAGAGGACAGAGGAAGACGTCCGGCCCTGAGACGAGGAAGCTGAGCTAATGAGTTTGGCCGGTGTCTTTCAAAACATCATCAGGTCTTGGTATATAGGTTGAGAAAGAATAGGTTTGGGATATGAGAGGGCCTGCCAGAAGTATATTATGAGGACAGTGAGGGGATGCCATGAGTGTTCGTTTCAGACCGCGTTGTGTGGAAGTCGAAGGTTTAAAGCTTGCAACAAGAGTTCCTGAAGGTCTCTAGATGTAGCCTGTTTTTCTCTAGCCCTAAGGGTCCATGTACTCATATAGCATATATACATATATATATATATATATATGTATATATATATATATATGGGCCCTCAAGTACCTACATAGGGACTACATTGGGGCGAATGTATATACTATATGAGCATATGGACCCTTAGGGTAGGGATTGCACATTTTCTGCGTTACTCGAAACCCCAATAACAACCGGAAGCCAGGGACACTCACCCCCAAATACCTCAACCCCCGAAGCAGGGACCCCAGGCCAAGTGTGATCTCCGAAACTTAAAACCCCCAAAGCCGTAGACCGTAAACCTTAAGCCTTAAACCCCTAAACCCTTAAACCAAAAAGCCCTAAAACCCGACCCATATCCGCTGCAGCTGGTGCTTGCGATGTGACTCGATACCTCAAGACTCCGAATACCTTTACAGCTAGGGCTTTAGGCCTTTAGGGCTTAGCCTTCAGGCCAGAATATACCCAAAACCTGAGCCTGAACCCTGAACCCTAAACCCTTATTTTGACCATTAGGGCCCCGATAATACCCAGCCCGTTTGGAGGTTCATGGGTAGCTATAAGTCCATGGTTTGGGGTTTAGGCTTTAGGCTTAGGGTTTTAGGGTTTAGGCTTTAGGGTTTTAGGGTTTTGGCTTCAGGGTTTTGGCTTAAGGGTCTTAGGGTTTAGGGTTTAGGGTGAGATATAAGTGGGCTTATATCTGCGGTAGCTACAATCATAACCTACAAGTAAGGGACTTCTCATATAACCTCACTTAGAACTACCCATGAACCTCCACGTAAGGGTTCTATAAGGCTTCTTGAAGGCGTCCAGGGAGGTTTAACGCTTCAGGGTTCAGGGTTTGCAGGCTTGGGTGTTGGGTTCGAGCCTTCAGGGCTTGGCGTTTTGGCTTCAAGGGAGTATTGTAGTGCATCGTTACGACTTAAGGGTTTTTAGGGTTTAGGTTTGTTGTAAGCAAGAAAGGAAAGTACACCATACTTCGGACATCGTCGTACACCAAGTTACAGGGTGCACTGGCATTTTGATTTTGTCAGCCCCGAGCCACAAGCCTAACATGTCTGACACCAGCAAGCGTCAAGGACTGTGCGTTTATAAGGACCGTATTGCCTAGAGGGTTTAGGGTTTAGGAGTTGAGGAGTTTAGGGTATAGGATGGGAGGGCTTGGGCCGTTTTTGAGAGAGTTGTTTATGAGGGGTTTGTCGTTGGGGGTCTGCATGGGTCTGCTAGGTCTCAGTTTCAGGGCTTCAGTCTGGAATCTCGGGTTTTAGGGTTTAGGGGTTGAGGGTGGGTTGGGCTTAGGGTTTAGCTCCCTGAGCTGCCTCAAGCCTGGGTCGTAAGGTCTTTGCCCTTGTCCCTACACCCTACATCCCAGTCTTAAACCGCAAACCCTAAACCCTAAACCCTAAACCCTAAACCCTAAACCCTAAACCGCAAACTCTAATTCGGAAGCCCTAAGCCTTAAATCCTTAACGCAAATCCCTAAACCCCTGAAGTCCCCCAAACCTCCAAAGCCCCAAGATGGAAATCCGAAGTATCCCACCTGTAGTACGCTAGGGTTTAGGGTTTGTTTAGGGTTTAGGGTTTAGGGTTTAGGGTTTAGTACGCCTCCCTCGGGCACCTAACTTGCTCGCTGAGCCTAGGCCCTAATTCAACCCAAAGCGAGCCCTAAACCCTAAAACCCTAATCCCTAAACCCTCAGCCTGAAGCCTTAAGCCTACGAGAAGGTGAAGAACGAGATGAAGATGGAAGGGACGAAGCGGGAAGATTTCTACGTCCTTGCGACGAAGGGAGAGGCTTAGTAGCCGAGTTAGGGTTTAAGGGCTTATGTAGGGCTATGGAGCTCTAGGATTTCAGGGTTTAAGGTTTCATAATAGTTGTGAGCCTTTATCTAGGACATTTTCAGGTGGGTAGTTACCGTTATAGGAGCTTTATAGAAGGTCCATATAGCTTATAGAAGCCTTATAGAAGCCCTTTAAACCCTAAACTCCCCACCTGTAGTTTCCTTCAACTTTAGCAGCCAAGATCATCCGTTGGGGGTGCAGGCTCCATGTAACCTCAAACCCTTCTCACAAGGTCGGGCGTATCTGGGGTTTTAGCATCTTAACGAAACATTATCAACGCAATCACAATCGTCGTCATTTTTGGCATTTTTGCTCAATGACTAAATCCTCGAAAGTCCAAAATGATCTAGGTTATCTTAGCCTCCTCTTTTTCGGAAAGTGTGGACTTTGGCACCTGACTGTTGAGTTATGGCTTCCGGAGTAATCTAGAAGCCATGCTCAGAAATAGCATTCCTTGGGCTTGCTCGACTAAAAATATTGTATGATAGACCCCCAAACCCTATTCTAGTGATTCGCCGCTCGCCGGTTAAGGCCCTACCCTAAACCCTAAACCCAATACGCTATAATCTAAAACCCTAAACTCTAAAACCCAAAAGCGCTAAAACCCTAAACCCTAAAACCCTAAACCCTAGGGTTTAAGAGGCTATACGCTTTGGGACTTCTGGCTCAGAGGAAGCTTCAGTTGTGCAAGTATAGAAAGTAAGTAATGTAGGGGCCTAAATAATTACCAATACTATTTTAGGGTTTAGGGTGTAGGGTGTAGGGGCCTAAATAATTACCCATACTTTTTGGGGTGGTTCCATATTATGATTATAGTATATTGGGCCTCAAAAACCTATGCTAATTGATAAGGCCTCTATATTTATTCAAAGGAAAGGTCTGAACCCAAAAGCCTGAACCCAGAAACGGTTTTGGGGCCCATAGTATACTTATAGTAAGGAACCCCCAAAACCCTATCCTAATGGCCCCTACATTACACTGTATGGAATTTTTCCTGGAATCCTCATGAAACTCTCCTCAACCCTAAACCCCAAACCCTAAACCCCAACCCCAAACCCTAAAACCCCAAACCCTAAACCCTAAACCCTGGTCAAGCACCAAAGGCACCAAGAGCAGCACCCCCACAAATCCGAAGTCGACCCTGCTGCAAGGGAGCGAAGGGCGAGGTGAAGGGAGAAACCAAGGGCGAAATGAAAGGCGACCCACCGGGTTGCGTTGAGGTTTGGGGCTTTTGTTTATGATTGTTCCCTAAACCCTAAACCCTAAACCTTTATGTTAAGATAATAAGGGTTCCTTTGTGGGATTCCTTTAAGAGATCCACAGGTTCCTTTTTTGCTTTGTGAGTTCCTTTATAAGGGTTCTACAAGGATTTTTGATTCGGGGTTTGAGAGCTTATGGCTTTACTTGTTCGAGGTCTATACGGTTTGGGGTTTAGGGTTCGGAGTTTTAGGGTTTAGGGTTTAGGGTTAGGGCAGGATTCAGGATGTGACTGCCCTCCGTATGGGAAAGCCAGCCTTGCAGGTCTGCCTTTTGCGGCATTCTTGCGTTTTCCCGGGGCGGCTCTTAATATCTAAGGTAAAAAGTACGGGCCCCTAATATGGACCCTTAGGCCTTTCTAGGAACACCCGTGAAACCCTCGGGTTTAGGGTTTAGGGCGCCCAAGTGCCCAAAACATCAGCTAAGAGCGGTGGAAAGCCGCTCCATGTCCCGGATCTGAAGCAGTATACGCTTGAAGCTTTAAAGTTTAGGCTTTAGGGTTTGGGTAATTTACCGCATGGCCCAAAGAAGATGTGCAAAAGAACCACGAAGCGCACAACGTCAAAGCCCTAAACGTTCAAAGCACCCATGCATAAATCATGAAACCCTAGACCAAAATCGGCAAATATCGTGCTGGAAACTTGGATGGTTGGCCAGGCGAGGGCGTGAAAGGGGAAGGCGTGAAAGGCGAGTCCAAGCGAGAAAGGCAAGGGTGGAGGGCTTCCATAGAGTTTGCTTTTGCTCTAAGGGGTGTGGTGTGGAGTTTTTGGGTTAGAGCTTAGTAGGGGAAGGTAGTTCATCGGCCAGGTGGTCGATAAGCTGCTTTGTGGGTTCACGGTTTGGCGTCAGGGTTTAGACACACTTAGCTTTGAGGGGTGTTGAAGGGTTCATTCTCATAAAGGCTTCACGATGACAGGTGGCCCCAACCCTCTAAACGGACTGCTTTCATGTTGGACCCTTTTTCGAACATGATTGAGGTCTAGAGCTCTCGAAATGCAACTAATGTGCCTGACACCACTTGATGCCAAAACCCAATACCCTGAACTGCCTAAACCCCGAAACTCTCAACCCACCTCTAAACGCCAAACTCCCAACTCGTCGACCATGACCACGGAGACGAGTGCTTCTTAAAGCCTACAGCCCCTAAGGGTCCAAGTGATGTAGGGGCCTCAATAATTTCAGTGGGGTTTTGGGGCTCATTATACTATAATCATAATAAGGAACCCCCAAAAATTACTATTGGTAATTATTGAGGGTCTCCTCCTATATTACTTAATTGTCATATGCTCTCCGAAATAGTAGCCTACCTAGCTACTATCCCAAACCGGAGTTCCTGCTTATTGGGTCCCTTAGACCCTGAAGGTGCTGGAAGGTTCACTTAGGAGCGGTTGTAACTTGAGACGGCTTTTGGCTTGGACTAGGGCATACGGTTTTGTAGATTTATGGCTAAAGTTGCCGTAGAACCTGTGTGCTACATCCGCTGGCCCTTCAAGTAAGGAGGACAACCGCCTGAGGCTGAGTTGTGTATATGCCCAAGCTCCAAGACTTATGCCGGAAATCCTTTAGGGTTTAAGGTTTAGGGGTTTAGGGTTTAGGGTTCGGCCCTTAGTCACCAGTTTTGATTTGGTTGCCACTCGACAATCGCTGTTACTCGTAGTTATTTCTGTTTGTCCCTGAGCCCTCTCACCCTTGTGCCCTTGGGCTTGTAGTGTCATCATGGAGTTTCCGAATTCAGATACCTTAAAACCCCTAGACCCAAAGCCCAAAAACCCTCAACCCCAGCCCCTAGGATCTTGCGGAGCAAAACGCCTAGCCGGGAACACAACTGATTGCAATAGAATCCCAGTGTCCTTCACCCTACCCAGGCCCTATTATTATGTAGTACCTTTTCTTGTTACTTTAGTTCCTTATTATAATATAGGATCCTTCCCATAAGAACAAGTCATACAAGCAAAGGTATTACATGTAAGGGTCTAGGTACAGCCCTGGAATCCTCAAGCCGAAGAGACCCCTCTATTCTAACTCCTGAAAGCCGAAGGACCCCAAGTCCTAAGTAGAGTCAGAGGGTTTAGGGTTTAGGGAGGGCTGAAGAAGAATCCCCCAAGGGTCCAAGTACGTAATAAATCATATACTCTCCGAAAAAGTAGCCGACAGAACTACTATCCGAAGCCTAAGTACCTAATTACTGGGTACTTTGGACCCTTGGGGAAGTAGCAGCAGTAGTAGCCGTCCCCTAGAGTCCCTTTTTGATATGAGACTAGAGCCTACACTAAAACCGTCTTGTTATTCAGGCCCCGAACCTTTAAATACCCTTGTAAAGATCCCTAAACCCTGAACCCAAGAACCTTCAAAGATTCCCAATGTAGGGGCCTTAATAACTAGGATAGGGTTGTGGGGCCCATTGTACTATAATTAAACTCAGGAGCCCCCAAAATAGTATAGGTAATTATAAATGTCCCAGTCATTCAGGCTCCTTTTGTTAAACCCTGTCGCCGCGTTCCACCAGGTCTCGGTCCAAGAAGAAGAAAAAGAAGGTGCGGGCCCCGCCATTTGGGGGCGGCCTCTCGTGATACGGCGGTCCGATGGTTTAAATTTGTTAGTAAACCTTCTCTTAGGGTTTCTATGTTCTACCATAGTGTATCCCGAAACCCAGTCTAGCTATTACGGCCCCCGTGTTTACCGCCAGCCCGGACGTACAGCTTAGGGGCTTCATGGGAAAAGGCCAGAGCCCCATTATTTTTGACAGTGCCCCTTATTCTCATTCAAGACTAGCCACCAGCTGTCTGCTACCATCGTCCCCCATCAAGACTGGCCATGGTACAACAAGAGAGATGCTGATGTAGCGACTGCAGAATATTGATAAAACAGCATGCTGGACTCCTTGTATAAACCCTATAAGATCAGGATTCGTTGTGATGAATCATGAAGGGTCTCGTCCAGAGAGAGTAGGACTTTCAGTGTTCAGTAAGCGGCGGTTTGTGGCCACTCTTGCCGTGGGTCTCCGAGCGGCTGCGGGTCCAATCTCTGGGCTTATGTTAAGGAATCCTAGAGGCTCCTCATATGGTACCATTATGGAAGTAGGTCTCAAAAGACCATTCTTATTACGGCTTTAGGGACCTAATTCCATAATGGTGGTATATGTGGAGCGTCTGGGTTAGTGGTTCACCAAATTTTTTGCACAACTCGCAAAACGAACGGCGACCTTACACCTCACACACGAGCCTTAAACCCGACGCCATGAGGACAAGATCAAGAAAGAGAAGGGCGATGGCGAAGGCAAAGAAAAGAAGGAGCCAAGTGAGTGCCACCAGTTACTCAGCATTTGACAGGTCTCTGTTCTGTTTTGACTGCCTGCCCTTAAGAGGGTTTAGTTGTGTTTGGTTTGCAGGGAGTTCGGCTGCATGCTTAGGGTTGTGGGTGCAAGGTTGAGAGTGTGGGCCATGGGTTTAGGGTTGTATAAGTCTCTACCCTAAACCCTAAACCCTCTAGGTCCAGCCAAGGATTTCGGAGGTTCTCCAGGGCCGGGTACAATGATGATTTGAGTGTTCAGATGTGTTCAGGGTTTGGGGTTTGGGGTTTAGGGTTTAGGGTGTCGGGTTTCAGGGTTTAGGGTTTGGGGTATGAGTGACGCCAATGCTGAAGCCTGGTTGACGACTTGTTGGAATCTTGATCATCCTGCAAAATTTTGTGGCAAGAGCAGGCGGTTTGGGGTATCCTGAAACCCGACACAGTATTTTGGGCCCGGAACCCTAAATCCTTACTATTCAGAACCCCTGCAGAACCCTGAAGCGCGAGTTGTCATGATGGGATTCATGGTGAGGCCCACAACCCTGCAGAGTCCATCGTCCATCGAAGGATCGTGTTAGGCTTCAGGTTTGCAGTTTCACATTCACGACTTTGGGTTTTCGGCTTCCGGATAGTTTAACTCAGGGTTTCGAGTTGGGCCTAGGGTTATCTGAATCCAAGCATAGCGACACGAAAGCCTCAGTACACCCTGGGACACCCGAATGAAAATTCACATGCCGTCAAATAAACGCCAGAGAGACCCTGCAAACTTTTATGACAAACAAAGTTATACGCACCATGACAAAAACACGTCGCACTGCGGTAGGCCGTACACCTGGTTTATGTTCCTAAACCCTAAACCCTACAGCCCAACAGCCCTAGCTGCCCTAACTAAACCGGCAAGTGGAAAAGATGTAGCAAAAAAACAACAGCCCTAAGTCCTAAAACCGTAAGCCCAAAAGCCCCCAAAACCCCTGAAACCCTTAAAACCCTGTAAACCCTGAACCCTTAGAACCCTTGAAATCCTTAAAACCCTACACCCTAAACCCTAAACCCGAACAGCCCTAGACCCTGAACCCTGAGAACCCTAAACCCTAAACCCTACCCCCTAAACCCTAAACCCTAAAAGCTAAAAGCCCTAAACCCTTAAAGCCCTAAACCCTAAACCCTTAAAGCACTACCGCCCGCAGGACAAGAAAAAGCGAAAGGGCTCTGAGTCTCCCGGAGGTACCCGGAAGCGAAAGAGCAAGTGGGGTCCCGACACGGCCGGGCTGGCCTGTGTCCTTTAAAGGGTCTAGGGTTGAGGGGTCTAGGAAGATTAGGGTTTTAGGGTTTAGGGTTTAGGGTGAAGGTTTAGGGTTTAGGGGTTTAGGGGTTTGGGGTTTAGGGGTTTAGGGTGTAGGGTTTTAGGGTTTGGGATTTGGGGTTTGGGGTGTAGGGTTTAGCGTGTGAAGGGTTTAGGGTTTAGGGTGTTAACGGTTTAGGGTTTTAGGATTTAGGGTGTTAAGGGTTTAGGGTTTAGGGTATTCAAAGGGAAACATAAGGCGCTCCCTATAACGGTTCCTATAGGGCTCTACAGGGTTTAGAGCTTCCGGGCTTAAGGGTTTAGGGGTTTAGGGTTTATAGGTGTTTAGGCTTTTGGGTTCCAGGTTTTGGGGTTCATTTCTGGGTCTTTTTACAGGATCTCAAGCCCAACACACAACATTGGAGCTCGAGTCTGGGGCAAGAGGTTTAATTCAAACCTGATTTCGGATTCTCTCTCTACTCCATTTGCCTCTCTCTCTCTCTCTCTTACGCGCTTTGTTTTCGGCAAGGGCGCCGACCACTGAAACGCTTCAAAGGTAATTTTTGTCTTTATTCATCCGAAACCCTAAACCCTAAACCCTAAAACCCTAAAAGCCCTAAACCCTAAACCCTAAACCCTAAAACCCTAAACCCTAAACCCTAAAACCCCTAAAAGCCCTAAACCCTAAACCCTAAACCCTAAAACCCCTAAACCCCTAAACGCCCATCCGTACGCGTTTTCTGTTTCGGGCCCCCGGCGCAGGTGACGGAGATCCAGGGCCAGGCCGAGGCGGA